GAGAATCCCTCAAATTCCCCAAGAATTCCGGACACCGGCCGCCTCCAAACTCTGGATTTTATTCCCAACGCCTTTTCCAGGAATCGAAATTCCCGGAATTCCGACGGGAAATCCCGGGATTGGCCCTGGGAATGAGGGGACCCCTCCCCCCCTTTCCCTCCTGTCCGTGATCCGGGATTCCGGGAATTATCCCGGCTGGAATTCCGGGATTGATCCAAGAGCTGGTCCAAAGTTGATCCTGGCTGGAATTCCGGGATTTGTCCAGGGATTGATCCCAAAATTCCAGGATTTATCCAGGGGCTAATTCCGGGGTGATCCAAAGGTGATCCCGGCTGGAATTCCGGGATTTATTCAGGGGCTGATCCTGGTCAGAATTCCAGGATTTGTCCAGGGATTGATCCCAGAATTCTGGGATTTATCCAAGAGCTGATCCCGGGCTGATCCCAAAATTCCAGGATTTATCCCAGGCTGATCCCAGTCAGAATTCCAGAATTTGTCCAGGGGCTGATCCCGGGGTGATCCAAAGGTGATCCCGGCTGGAATTCCGGGATTTATTCCAGGGCTGATCCCAAAATTCCAGGATTTATCCTGGGGCTGATCCGGCTGGAATTCTGGGGTTGATCCCAAGGAAGATCCCGGTGTCGATCCAGGCTGGAATTCCCGGGAATCAGCAGGAATGGGGCTGCTCCCGGTCAGAATTCCGGGATCTATCACGAGGCTGATCCCAGAATTCCAGGATTTATCCTGGAGCTGATCCAGAGCTGATCCAGGGGCTGATCCCGGCCATAATTCCAGGATTTGTCCAGGGATTGATCCCAAAATTCCAGGATTTATTCCAGGGTTGATCCAGGGCTGATCCCAGCTGGAATTCCGGGATTTGTCCAAGGGCTGATCCCGGGGCTGATCCCAAAATTCCAGGATTTATCCCGGAGCTGATCCCAGAATTCTGGGATTTATCCAGGGCTGATCCTGCTGGATTTCCAGGGTCAATCCCAGTCAGAATTCCCAGTCGGAATTTCGGGAATTTCAGCAGGAGCTGGCCTGCAGCCCGGGATGATCCCGGTATTCCCGGTTGGAATTTTGGGAATTTCAGGAATTTTTTGGAATTTTTTGGGAATTTCAGCAGGAGCTGGCCTGCAGTCCCGGTTTGTTCAGCAGTTGGAATTTCAGGAATTTTGGGAATTTTGGGAATTTCAGCAGGAGCTGGCCTGCAGTCCCGGTTCATTCAGCAGTTGGAATTTCAGGAATTTTGGGAATTTTGGGAATTTTTTTGGAATTTCAACAGGAGCTGGCCTGCAGGCCGGGTTCATTCAGCAGTTGGAATTTCAGGAATTTTGGGAATTTTGGGAATTTTGGGAATTTCAGCAGGAGCTGGCCTGCAGTCCCGGTTCATTCAGCAGTTGGAATTTCAGGAATTTCAGGAATTTCGGGAATTTTGGGAATTTTGGGAATTTCAGCAGGAGCTGGCCTGCAATCCCGGTTCATTCAGCAGGGACGCGATGGCCGCGGCTCCGGCTCCGCTCCCGAATTCCTCATCGGAGCTCGACAGCGGCTCCTCCTGCAGCGCCGAATCCACGGCCCGGCGCCTGAAATTCCAGGAAAAACCGTCAGGATATTGGGAATTGCATAAAAAAACCACAAAATATTGGGGATTCCACAAAAAACTCTGAGAATTCCACAAAAAAAAATTGGGAATTCCACAAAAAAAAACCTCAAAACCCTGGGAATTCCACAAAAAAAACCCTGAGAATTCCACAGAAACCCTCAATACATTGGGGATTCCACAAAAAAAACCCCTCCAACCCCTGGGAATTTCACCAAAAAAAACCTGGAAATTCCACAAAAAACTCCTCAAAATATTGGAAATTCCACAAATAACCTGCTAAACATTGGGAATTTCACAAAAAAAATCCTGGGAATTCCACCAAAAAAATTGAGAATTCCACAAAAACAATCTCAAAATATTGGGAATTTGTGAAAAAAGCCCTCAAAATCCTGGGAATTCCACAAAAAAAGCCCTCAAAACATTGGGAATTCCACAAAAAACTCCTCAAAACATTGGGAATTCTACAAAAAAAACCCTGAGAATTCCACAAAAAACTCCTCAAAATATTGGGAATTCCACAAATAACCGGCTAAACATTGGGAATTTCACAAAAAATATCTTGGGAATTCCACAAAAAACACTGCAAAACCCTGGGAATTCCAAAAAAAACCCCTCAAAATATTGGGGATTCCACAAAAAAACATGGAAATTCCACAGAAAAGCCCTCAAAACCCTGGGAATTCCACAAAAAAAAAATCCTGGGAATTCCACAAAAAAACCCCTGAGAATTCCACAGAAACCCTCAATACATTGGGAATTCCACAAAAAAACCCTGCAAAACGTTGGGAATTCCACAAAAACCCTGGGAATTTCACAAAAAAACTCTCAAAAAAATTGGGGATTCCACAAAAAACCCTCAAAATATTGGGAATTCCACAGAAACAAAATACAAAACATTGGGAATTCCACAAAAAACCCTGGGAATTCCACAAAAATCCTCAAAACTTTGATTTTTCCACAACAAAAAACCTTCAAAACTTTGATTTTTCCACAACAAAAAATCCTCAAAACCCTGGGAATTCCACAAAAAATTCCCCGCCCCAGAATTCCCGACAATTCCCCCCCTCAAAACATTGGGAATTCCATAAAAAAAACCCTGGGAATTCCACAAAAAACCCTCAACCCCTGGGAATTCCCGGGATTTTTCTCCTTTTCCCACCCAGAATTCCCTCTTTTCTCACCAGGCCTCTTTTTCCAGGGATTTCAGCCGTTGCTGGAGTTGTTCGTTCAGCTCCGTTTGCTCCTCCAATTCCCGCTGGGATTTTTTCCGGGCGTTTTCCAARCGTTCCATTTCCTCCTCGGCCTCGTCCACGCGGCGTTTCAGCGCCTTCACCCGCAGGCTCAGCTTTGGAGGG